GGCCTTCCATAAAAATAGCCTTGAAATATTAGTTTTGTTAGAAAACAGTATTTGGTTACAAAATTAACAAAAAAGCAAAACATTTTAAAATGTATGCAAATGAATGTGTATACATTCACATAACTTCTGCATATAAACCGCTCAGAACTAAAAATCTCAGTATTAAAAATAGTACACGTAATATAAACTATAGATTAACAGTAGAGCTACAATCGATTATCAAATAACTATTTTAATATGAAAATCTTAAAAATGAGGTCTTGAGTAATCAGTATCCATAGAGAGCCACATTAGCAAAATATGCCATAGTATTGTTTAATTTTGTATAACTCAAAATATATAGAGTCAAATAAAATGTTAAATAGCAAATAATACACTCAAAAATACATATATTCGTGCGATAATACACTCCGGTTTAAGAAAAATGAGGAAATAGGTGTAATTAAATGCTAAAGTGTACCTCAGAAACGTTTCAAAATACTTAAAAGTAAAAATGCGTTATAATAAATGTTGGTTATTGAGTATTGGTAATATTAGTGTCATAGTGTAACGGCGAGCTACTGAACTAATAATTCCATAAGTAATCATTAGGATTCGCTATATGTATAATAGCGGAGATATTAAGGCCACAATATATACACTGGCCATAATACTACCTTCTCCTCTAATAATTATAAGGATCTTACAACAATTGCAAAGCTTTTTCTGCTGAACGCAGCCATCGCAATAATCGCCGAGAAATTTTCCGGAGTGCGTTTCGCTCATCATTCGCATGCACAGGTTCATAGTTCGTTTATGTGTTATCGATTCGCCTGCGAATTATAGACGCGCTCAGCGTGTTAGTTATGCTAATGTGCGTAATGCATGAACGAAAGCACGATGTAAGCGGCACCGAAACGTTATAGAACATAAATCTTTCACAAAGGGGAATTAGAGCCGGTGCAATGATATTGTAGTGCACAATTATTATATCACGATCATCAGAGAAAGACTCGTTGAATTATTAATTTACTGCAATCCTCGAATTTAATGCGCGGCAATGAAGAATTAACGCGAAATTAACGCAGGTGACGAACCGGTTCTAATCGATTCAAATGCAGGCACAAAGTAGAATAATAAACATGAAGGAAATGGAGTTGCTTTTCAGTGAATTGTTAGAAGAGTTTCTTTGTTTGCTGAAAATTTTTCTAGATTTTTATTATATTTTCGGTAGATGATGCTTTACATATACATTGAAAGTAGAGTCCTAGATAAAAAAAGAAATGCGACTGATGTTATGGTTTTTTATTGGTTTTATCATTTTTTCTTTAAATAGTAGTAGGAATTTGATTTCACTAAAGTAATTTTACGATTTATCAGTTCACAATATTCATTACTTGTAAGCATTGCAATATTTTTATTCTTATGTTTATTTGAATCGTTTCTTTCAAAATAAAATTTTTTTTCAAATGAAATTTTTTCTTAAAAGATTTATATCCATGAATATATAATAGCGTTTTTCACTGGTAGAAGTCCACGGTTCGGGCTGGAGCTCGAAGGTCCGTACGCTGGAGATTTCATATTTCGACTGGAGACCGACCGATTGTTTCATTAAAAAAAAAAAGAAAAAAAGAAAAAGGCGCAAGGTTTAATTCGTGTTTTGCGACCACTGTTATAGACTTTCTTTTTGTTAATATTGGACCAACATAAAGTATCAACATCACAGAGACCTTCTTATTATTATTACAAGATTTATACAGTACAAACACAATTACAAACTTTTTTATTATTCGTAAAATAACATAAACTGCAAACATAATCGCAGACTTTTTTATTACTCTCCACGTAATTTAAATATGTAATTAATAAATATCCCACGCGAGCGAAAAACTGGAGATTTTTCCGTCTGTTGGAGAACTGGAGATTCGTCCTGAAAACTGGAGTCTTCAGTCGAAATTTGGAGACCTGGCAACCAGAACTAGTGCGCACTCAGTGCACATTAAAGCTGTTGTATACTAATCTAATCTGAATGTAAAAGAGATATCTCAATTAATAAAATATCTAATGTATATTAGTATATTTTATCAAATACCGCAATAAAATATATTGAGGATTTCGCGGTTTAATTCGTTTTTATATTTTTATCAAACATGCATCTTTACGTCGATTTGTGTACAATGACTTTAAAATGCACTGAGTGCGCACCAGTTATAAGTTTAGTTGAAAAATTAAGGACAGATAAATATAAATACAGGCAGTCATTTTCTCTTCAAATGATACATATGTCGATTGCATTTTTTTCTTTATCTAGGATCCTAATTGAAAAAAATCTTCGTGTATTAAATATAAATGCAATTATAAAATGATATTACAAATTATTATATTGACGATACTAAATGCGATTAAAATTGTACAAATCCAATCGATCCATGTATTTAAATGTTTTACACCTGAAATTACGCATGTAAGTTGCACACGCCTGTGTGCATCAACCTGATCTTTACATAATTCTTATCACGTACTCTCGCGTACGAAAGTTACATTCACGCCGACAATTTCGTGCCGATAAGTTCCCTCGAATGTCGAGCATTAAACGTCGACATGAAGAAATCGATGGATTATTGTTACCGGGCTGCATGCAGGAAGCTTTACTTCGAGTTCTGAACATTTTTCTCTCCGCGAATTGTTCCCGCAATCATCAATTAACGCTCGATTAACTTCGCTCGATATCCACAAGAAGAACCCGTTATTTTCCTCAATCTATTTTCCTCCGTCCGATTCAGGACGTATTTCGCTAACCGTAACACACCCGGTATATATCGGCGACCTATATTCATATCTCGCATTTTACCCTGAGTATATGTAAATAATTATCAGCTCGCGATAGAGCCCGCGCGCTAGAAAAAAAGCAAATAGAAGCTGCTTGTCGCTGAGCGAATAGGCAAATACGAAGGGAGAGTCCAGGGGGAGGGGAGGCTCTCGTATTTACGTTTCCGGTTCGATTATTATTGTACGACTGCGTGTCAGTGCTTGTGTATGTACCAGTGTACTGCGTGCGTGGTGCGCGAAACGAAAAAAAAAAAAGTGAGCGTCGCGACGGCGCTCGCTTGTTCCGACGAAGCCAGCGACGTTTTCCGCCGTGCCATTCATGCGCGTTGCACCCTGTTTACTGCTTCTCCTTTTTTTTCCCTTCCCTTAACAACGACAGGAGAAACAAACGGCATCCCGTCCCGTGGACGATAGGTACAGTCGTGCGCGTGAATCCCCCGCCGTTGTCGGCTCATTATCTCGATCGCCGATCGAGAATGGCGACGTTTATTAGACGAGCGAGATTTCCCGTCAGGAGGAGATACAGTGAGTTCCACTTTATTCTACTTCTCCGTGCCTTTTCTGGCGTCTGACGACGAAGAGCAATCTTTTCCTGCCGCGAGTTATTAAATTACCGAGTTCGGCGATCCGTATACTGATTATTACCCATGCGAGTAATTAATAACCGGTCATTGATTGCACGCGAGTGATCTCCCTTACACGGTAGTGATCTTCCTTTTCTTGCGCTTGTCTGGAGTAAGCGGAATCATCTTGCTCCGAAATGGACAGTCTCCGGTTGCCGTCAAATTATCGGTGTTTATATGGTGTCGGCCCGAACCTCTTTCGGAGCAATCGGAGCTGCGATGTTCAACTTTCGAAGCCTTCCCTTTTTACATGAATTAATAACTATATTTAACAAAATAATTTGGTAAAAATCATGTATATTACAGTTTTGTGTTTATATAACGTCCAAAAGTATCAAGTGAGTATTCCTTACTCATATTACCCTTCTCTCTAAAACTTTTAGAGTAAATCTCACTCTGAAGACTGAAATCTCACTCTTAAAGATTGAAAATTGAGCCACTCTTTTTCAAGACTGGCTCAATTTTCTCTCTTTAGTGAGATTCCACTCCAAAGAATTTAGAGAGTTAAATGCGAATATTTGAAAAATGCTTAAAAATCTTTTTTGATACGTAAGCTCAATTTTTGCTGTAATTGCAATACGTCTTTGGAGTAATTTAAGGAGTAACGTATTTATTCCATTTAAGGCCAGTTGTTTCACCTTCGGATAAACAAAAAAGTAAGAGAGTGAACTAAAATTTTTGTCAAAAGGTTGAACAACCCAATCTTGTGATAAATTAAATATAATAAATAAATACTTCACTGAATAATGAAGTAATTTAGTTTTCTTAATTGTTACAAAATAATACTTTATTTATTTTCCGATACTCTTTTAAAGAGAATCTCTGACAGGATACATTGATTAACTGTTAATTGCGTATCCATTGATTTTTCTCTCAAAAATCCAATACTAATTATCCGTAATATACTTTCAGTTTCGAAACATTAAATAATTTATCATCCGATATATATTTTAAGAAAACCGTCTCCTTATCTCTTGGTGAGATAGAAACAATGCTGAGAACATCACGTTATGTAATCGGCACGTTTTTACGAGACTATATTTTAATTGTGTACAACGTAAAAATTTCTGATTCAACTAAAAAAAGAAAAAGAAGTTGTGTCGAAAGTACTCATATTGCGCGCGATTATCTCCTCCCCTCGCCTTCTTTCTCTTAACGTCTCTTATATACATAATACACACGCCGCTCGTTACGTGATTCCGCACAATTGCATAATGAATTCTCCGACAACGAATGAATGTCAGATCCGGACCTTGATTCCCGCGATGATCCATAACGATCTGTTGTTTTGTGATGTAAATCGGCCGATCGACACGTGGCTCAAATTTCACCCCTATTGTATTAAATTTAGAGGAAGGACAAATTTAGGAAGAACAAATTTAGGAAGGACTTATTTTACCAAACTTTCTCATAATCTGTTACAATTTATTTTATTTATTAATATCAGCCGATTTATTTTTACGCATATCCATCTTAATTTTTTCCTCAATTTATTCATATTCTATCACTTAACTTATGTATCTCTCGATGGATCGAATTACTCACGTAGAGAAATGTTTTGTCTTTCAGGTAAATCTCCGTTCTTCCCGAGTCTCGATGAGCAAGGGTTGGAGGATCCGAATGCGCCGAGCCAGTTGGACGGTGTCGGCGTTGGCGTCGGGGTAGGCGTCGGCGTTGGCGTGGGTGGCGGTATAACGGCGTCCCAAGCGGCGCCGCTCTCATCGCCGAGTCGAAGCAGTCCGCACAGCCAGGGCAGCGAAACCGGCGAGCGTTTCTCGAGGAAAGTCTTCGTCGGCGGATTACCGCCTGATATCGATGAAGGTACGCAGTTCATATTATATCATCTAAGATTATTTGCGGGACAAGACGTAACATATAGTGATGTAATCACAATGCATCTTTTCAATTCAGATGAGATCACAGCCAGTTTCCGCCGTTTTGGTCCGCTTGTTGTGGACTGGCCACACAAGGCAGAAAGCAAATCCTACTTTCCTCCGAAAGGTTACGCATTTCTGCTGTTCCAGGTACGTTTTCGACTCCTTCCGCTTCTTTTTTCATTTTCATATTATGTGAATTAATAAAAATAAATTAACAGTAATTAAGAAAAAAAACTGAAAATAAAGATAAACTAAGAAATTAATGATAATCGAATGTCATGCGATTATTCCAGGACGAGGGTTCGGTGCAACAGCTGATAGATGCCTGCATTCAAGACGAGGACAAGCTTTACCTTTGCGTAAGCTCGCCCACGATCAAGGACAAGCCTGTGCAGATCCGACCTTGGCGGCTCAGTGACGCCGACTTTGTGCTGGACGCCTCCATGCCGCTTGATCCGCGAAAGACGGTCTTTGTCGGCGGGGTGCCGCGACCGCTCAAGGCAGTCGAGCTCGCGATGATCATGGACCGGCTTTATGGTGGGGTTTGTTATGCTGGCATCGACACCGATCCTGAGCTCAAGTATCCCAAAGGTGCCGGCAGGGTCGCCTTCAGTAATCAGCAAAGCTACATAGCTGCCATCTCAGCCAGATTCGTACAGCTGCAGCACGGCGATATTGACAAAAGGGTAAGTACGAAGAAGAAGAATCCTATTTTTTAAGGACACTTGCTTGAACGAATAACATCTCTAAACTCGGTATTTATAGTTTGTTCTTATTTCAAAGTCATTTTAAAGTAATATCTTAAGATGCTAATTTGGCTGTGTTAAGATTCAGGCTATCTTAAGATTGTACTTAAAACGTTTTAAATATAAGAATGGACTATGAATATCGGCTTAAATGAAGCATTTAGGACAAGACTGGGAAATCTAAATCCATGATTGATAGGGTTGTTTTAAAGATGGGATATCTTTACAAATTACGAACATTGTTCCCCAGGCAATTATTCTTGTTCAAAATTCTTCGAGAATTTCGTACTTTCTCTAATCATATCTATAATTTTTCGAATAGGTTGAAGTCAAACCATATGTTCTGGACGATCAGATGTGTGACGAATGTCAAGGCCAGCGTTGCGGAGGCAAATTCGCACCGTTCTTCTGCGCCAACGTCACCTGCCTACAGGTATATTTCGATCGGCTCATCTTTATTAATAAATAGTAAAGGAAGCTATAAAGTAAAAGTGCGGTTTTTATTATCAATTAATTTGAAGCAAAGTTTGAAAATTTCTATGCAAATGTCATAACAAAAAGCAATTCCATTAAAAAATTAGATTTTCGGAGATTTCACTGAGATTTTATTTAAAAAATTCTATTTATTTAATTCAAAGCTAAAATCATATTTGTATCTTTTAATAACGAACTCATGGAAGATTTGCTTTATTAAGCTTTCATTTTAATAAATAATTATGCGTTTATTTTAATGAAATAATTATTTTATTGAGTTAATCTCCAATAAAATTTCTCTTCTCTCTTGTATTAATAAGAGAGATTAAATTTTTTGAATTTAAATGAAATCCGAATTATGTAATACTGTCTATTTTCAGTACTACTGCGAGCATTGCTGGGCAACTATTCACTCCCGGCCAGGTCGGGAGTTCCACAAGCCGCTGGTGAAGGAGGGCGCGGATCGGCCTCGGGCCGTGCCTTTCCGTTGGTGTTAACCCCAGCTGCGTTGTCCCTAATTATCTCGCAGCCCTAGCTAATTAACTACCACCTCTACCAATATCTCCCCACCCTCCCCTCACGTGCCCCAACCAACCCTCACTTCCCTCCGCCTCCAATCTTACTTACTTACTTACCTACAACAAGAACACAGCCTCAAAACTGCTATTACTACTACTACTATTACTACCACCACTCGATCGTTACGTACTACCACTACTCTACTCTACTACCACTATTATTACTATTACTACTACTACCACTACTATTCTACTACAAATTATTACTACTACTACTACTACTACTACTACTACTACTACTACTACTACTACTACTCCACTGCTACTACTTCAAGTTGTACCGGTTATACTGGAGGAAGAAATCAGCCGCAGTTGCTCGCCAATCGATGCAGGCTCTTGGCGTTATTCCGATCTTTGATCTTGCATCCATAACGACTTGCTAACGGCCACTGGTATCATCATCGTGCAAAACTATGCCCATTTAGATGACTTTGCCGAACCGGAAAACGGATCTTGCACCCAACGAAGGCGCCAGAAGGCAGCCAAGAAAAGAGGAAATGATCGGATCTACGCCAAGCCGATATCGTCGAGCCGGAAAAAGAAGAAGAAAATGAAGAAAAATACACGCCGAGACACAGGATTCAGAAGAGAAATGGACACGGATTCTCAGTATATCGATTACTCGTACACGTATAATCCTATCTGTCTGCGCTGTAAAATGCACCGGTTCTGTCCGAAAGATCGAGTATTGTTAGTTACCGCGAGTCTCGAGGAGCGAGCAAGCGAGGAAGGGACTGCCGCCGTTGTCGCCCCGACCTCGTGTACGCACCCCGCGCCAATTGTCGGCACCAATCCTCCTCGAGTGTTTACCGAAATCGCCGGCAACGCGATTGCGATACGGATCCGCCTCGTGCTTGCGTCTCGTTCTGCCGCGGATCGCCCCTTCCGAGTTCGACTGCCGCATGCCGCGATAAGGAAGGAGTTTCTCCCTGTGCCGTCCATCCCGATCGAGCGAGATTTTGATTTTGCGAAGCGCGACCCGGATGGACGTTGGCGGAAGCGACTTCTAGACAAACGGGGCTCGCGCTTTTCCCATCAACATCGTCCATTTGGACGAAAGCCCGAACGAAAACCCGCGCTCCCGAGCGACGTAGTGATTCCCGCGCGACGAATGTTCGTAAGAAACGCGAGTACCTGATCCGACGCGAAAGTGTGTTGCCAGAGTGAACGAATGAGATTGGAAGAGTATGCGAGAAAGAAAGAGACGAGGAAAGAATGAGGGGGTGATAGTGGAAGCAGTGACATCAGAAAAGACGCGTGGTAGGTGATGAGGGCCGGTGGGAAACCTGGAAGAGGGTAATAGGGAGAGAGGATAGAGATGATATAAAGAGAGTGACAAATCGTCCGCATTGGATGTTAATCAGTAATGAAAAAAGCCACGCTTCAATCTGCTGTGTAGGTAATTCTCTGTATCACAAACCCAGAACACACACATACACACACACATTCGTACAAACATGTACACGCATACACGGTTTTCTAGTTATTAAGAACTTATTAAAAATATGTTACATAGGTGCGTTGTGTAATGCGTTTCTTGTACGGATAACGTAACCGCGCGCTCATAGGGAAAGCATTCGACAAAATGATTTTTTACTAATTAACTTATTCAAGTGAGAAGAAAATAACACGTAGATGAAAACATAAAAGAAACACATAAATAGGGAAACTGAAAGTTTAAAGGGAGAATAGTCATACGGGTGACGGAAGGAGAGGTAAACGGAAATCGAAGTAATTTAATTTTTCAATCGCAAACGGCTGTATATGACATCGTGGCGGCGTGCTCCAGGTTGTCCAGGCCTGCCTAAGCTAACATCCGCGTGCCGAGTTCTCTGCCAATTTTCTTTCCCAAAAACCAATGTGAGTTACCTTCACGAACCTTCGCGCGAGAAACGAAGGGGTTGCTAAGTCGAACCGCGCGTATCGTTCGCCCACGAAGAGAGAAGAGGCCCGCTACTCGCTCGCGGGGAACGCGAGGATCGAGGGTTGTTGCTACCGCTGTCAATGACGAATTTTACATTTTGACTTTATTATTACTACTTACTACTATGTGCAATATAAACGATCACTCTTCGTGGTTTACGCTGACGAGAACGATCAGCAATAATACGCTAAGCGTATTTTCGAAATGCGACATGCACGCGATTTCTCTCCTCCTCGAAAACGTTCGATAGTAAGCACGGAATGTCCGTGAACATCCGCGTCTGAACTCGTACATCCCTCTTCTTCGCGAAACGAGCGATGTACCTCGCAGATCCTTTTTCGTGGCGAAACGATCTCGCGCTCGACTTCGCGGAAGATAAGGAAAAGAGATGCTCGTGCAAAACGGGACGCAAAGGGGGTGGTGTCGTTTCTCGAAACCAAAGTAGCGATAGAAACCGTGATTCGCGGAATACCGGAGCAGCGTGTTATACATAGAATGATCGTATCTAATTACTCTCTTCATACGTCCGATAGATGATTTGCAAGAGTGTGCAGCGCGTCTTGAGGGGGTCGCGTTTCGCGCGGAACATTATTATAGATTCATACATTATATATATACATATAGAGAATGCCGCATGTTGTCCGCTCCTGTACATACATATTGATCCCTCTCCCCTAACCAATTAATCAATTAACCGGCGTTTATTAATCGCGACCGCGAGTGTGCACGTTTTCTTAATCCCTTCAAAATGAAACGGACTTCTTCGCTGGGTGTATATAATCAAATGCAATCGCCGTAGTTCAAGAATAAAGGAAAAAATGGAAAAGAAGGGGGGAGAAAAGAATTAACTTTTCGCCGAGACGTAGGATTTCTATTCCCGAAGGGTTTAGTATAGAGAGAGTCTTGGTTGGCAGATAGCAGGACCTCTGTAAATTTTAAGCATGACGCTTCCTAGCGCTCGTCCTTTTAGCAAATGCGACGGTGATCCCGGCAAAATTGAATCGACGATTTTTCGACGCGTTTTACCGAAAGCAATTTCTCGCATCGCTACTCGTCTCTCATTTGACAATATCTTACAATACGTAACATAGGATACTTTTGATAACTCTGTAGTAGAGGAGGCAGGCTTAAGCGCTAATACCGGACATTCGTCACCTCCCAGTGACTCTTTTGTTGTGCAAAAAAGACGTGTCTTTTTACAATACTTCCGACAATAGCCGGATTGTTCCTTCGCGAGACGGCCGAAAGGTTGTGGGGCTGGGAAGCGTCGTACTCGAAATTAGTATGCAACGTTGTGTGTTCCGCTTCGTAGATGACAAAAAAAAAGCCACATTCTGAACGTAGCAGCAGCAGCAATCGGAAGACGTAGTTTAAACCTCGCATGACGAGTCTCTCTCGCGATACTCTTCTTCTGCACGCGTATCGAACTTTGTACAATTCGCGACATACATAAACAGACACACGAGAGCACACAGCACACAGGTGATTACACGACCGATGATATAATCCGTATTTGTATACGGATTTAATGAGGGAAGGGACAAAAAGAAATAATCCTTACACACACACACACACGTCTATATATATATATATACACACATATATATTTATTTTTTTGGTACTCCTTTTTGTATATATATATGATATATCTTGTCTCGCCGCGTGTAGAGATGATAGCCGGTGGCGTTTATTAGAGCACCGTACGGGAGGGAATGCGTTATTATTAGGCGGATGCTGTATGACGGAAGTCGCAGTAAGAGAGGCGCGTTCAACGACGACCCTCCGTCCCTTCGTCTGAGACACACCGTTCGGCCCGCGAAAAAACGAGGACACGTGTGTGGTGGTGAAGGGGGAAAAATTAATAAATATATCCAATATGATAGAGCGGGTGAGGAAGAAACGAGTTCTCGTTGCCGGCCCTCTTTGACTCGCGTTCTCAATTAAGATAGATTAGATTCGAGTCTGATCGAAACGCGGGCAAAATTTTAGATAAAATAGAAAACGAATAAAAACCAGGGGGCGTGTGTAGAAAAGAGTCGCCCGCGCGACCAAAGGTTTTCGGATAAGGGAAGAAGATGGGCAAACACTAGCATATAATTGTACACGTAAATTAGTAGAGTGAGTACGTTAAATTTTTCTATCCGTTGCTATCTCTCGCAGTATTCTAAATAAACACGATCAACTTTTTCTTACGCACTTGACGGAAGCCCGGAACTGTTTCGATCGAGAGGAAAGAATCGGCAGGAAAGAGAAGAGGAGATTGATGCGAAATGGAGAATAGACATCGTGAAAATGAAAAAAAAACTTAAAGGAGAGACGCGAAAAAGGGAGAGGGGCACAATGAGAATGTAAGCATTAGTTAGTGCAATTTTACAAGTCACCGTTCTTGTAAGTCGAACGAAAGGGAGAGAAAGAGAGAGAGCGAGCGAGAGAAAGAGAGAGAGAGAAAGAGAGTGTGTGAGAAAGAGAAAGTGGCATAATCCGTGCGGCACACACGGGCAATAAATAAATTAAAACGCGGGCCGCGATCGGGCATATCCGTGTTGTTATCGCGGGTAAATTTATATATGTATATGTATATGAGAAAATCGCCGGCGTGCTCGCGCGCACAGCCGTGCACGTGTGGAAGTCACGCGCGTGTGCGCGCGAAGCCGGCTCATATATTAGGCGAAAATTTTTCTCAATCCACATACTTCGCGAGCATGGAGCACGCATCGTCGACAGGCGCTCACACACTCGCAATACACACATACACACACACACACACACACACGCACACGCTCCACTAATCGATCGATATAATTGTGTAGCGAAACTTACCTAGGTACCAATTCACCTAAATCAATTGATATCTAAAAATATATATTGATATATATTTTTTCTAGACAAATTTTTCTATAATGTTCAAAAAACGGATAAAAACGTGCGAAAAAAAAGGTTAGGCGAGAGGAAGGAGGACAGGACGTGTCGTCCCCGTCGCGCAGAACGTCACTTCGAAACCTGTTTCGGGAGCGCGAACGCATACGCGAAAGTACACTTAATTCTGGCTAACACACACACACACACACGCAGTAAACAATGAGCACGCGTGTACAATTAAAAACCGCAAAAACCTAGCTGCGAATACACATTTTTCTCTAAGTTACACCAATCACACACACACACACACACACACACACACACACACACAAACACAAACACAAACACAAAATCCTCATAAAATCACAAATACCAGTATACGATCTTTTCCGTGTCGATACAAATACA